GCCCCGGGAAATGATAACTGCTATAGTATACAAAGGTGGACCCGTGAAGATCCGGGGTAGAATAGGTCTTCAGCAACCCATGCTTGCCGTAAAAGGTGACTTTCTTGTCGTAAGAGGCGACTAACGGGATCGGGTGGTCGGGCTCGCTGACTTGGTTGATTCATGTCATCGATCCCAATTGCGTGGATTGATGCTCATGATATAAATCACTGGATTGTCTGGTCCAGACTCGATTATTTACAGACCGCCGTCATATAGCTGGAATATTGCTGAGTGCGGCGTTAAACAACAAAACAACAAACCAACTACTTCTGAATAACGAAAACGGGTTCGTTTTTCAATTAACGTAGAACAGTTTTATCAAATATAAGATAGTCGATCTCCCAACAACTGTTTTCTTATTAAACACACTGAGGTATAAAACAACATTACTAACGCTCTTAAGTCATGGGGGGCACGGGTGGCCCAGTCGTCTATAGGCGCCGCGATTCGCTGTGCAGAGTTGCGTCCCTTGGGCACGCCAGAAACCTAAGATTGTGGGTTCGAATCCCTGTTCGCCCCGATTATGTTTCTAGATTTGTCAGCACCATACCCGTGCTCGTGGGTTTCACCGAAGTGGTAAACGTCTGAGACCTCCATCACTTCGGGCTTTCCTCCCACATTAAGCTGACACACCGTGATATAACTGAAATACTGTTAAAAGCGGCGTTAAACCCAACTCACTCACTCACTCTAAAGTCATGGGGGCGTGTGTTTAGCCTTGTGGTTAAAGCGTTCGCTCGTCACGCCGAAACCCCGGGTTCGATTCGTCACATGGGTAAATTGGGGGAAACCAATGTCTGATATTCCCAGCCGTAATATTGCAAAAAATATTGCTAATTGCGGTGTAAATTCATACAAACTCACTCATTCTGAAACCACAGAGCTGTTCACTGTTCCCGACCAAAGGCAGTATCGTACAAACGCACCCGGCCTGGCTACCCTGTCGTCGTCCCACCTGAATCCCGTGAAGCATGATGGTTGTTTCTCGGGCTTCCCGCCTCGCACCTGTTGTCCATAGCTGTCAGATGGGTGATATAGACACGCATCACGAGCTGATATATACATCACTACGGTTCAGCCGCGTGTATTGCCGTCTCGGGTACACGTGTCAGGCCACAGCCAGTGGAATACATTTCCGAATATACATCGACAGGTTATTTTATATCCCTTCTGAGGCTCTTGGTAATTCGGTATATGAGTCACGGGGTTGTAATTTGAGATGCTTAATGAATCTTGTTATCTTTTAATCAAAGTTTAGATTTCATCATTTTATTGTTTGCTGGAGGCATTTCGTAGAAGTTGACGGCCGACAAAGTAGAAACATGTTTATGAATAACAACTTCTTTGTTATACAGTAAACTACGGTTAAAACGAACTCAAAGAGACTACTAATTTTAGTTCGTTATAACCGTATTTCGTTATAAGCATATATACAGCATAACGACAGCATATAGTCGGGACTAAAAAGTAAGTTCGTTATATCCGTTAGTTCGTTATTAGCGTGTTCGTTATAGCCGTAGTTTACTGTAGGTATATGTCGACAATGAACCCTTTGATAAACCTTCAACGTATTATCCTCCTGTGGATGCTCGTATTCCCGTGGCTGAAACATGTACAGTAAACTACGGTTATAACGACTACTCATTTTAGTTCGTTATAACCGTAATTCGTTATAAGCATATATACAGCTTAACTACAGCATATAGTCGGGACTAAAAAGTAAGTTCGTTATATCCGTTAGTTCGTTATAAGCGTGTTCGTTATAACCGTAGTTTACTGTACTGTAATAACGACGTTTCGGCATGGATCCTTATACCAGAGCTTGATAACAGTACATGCAAAGACCTAGACTAACATCTAGTCTCTGAAATGAACATATCGTACAGAAAAAAACAGTTGTTCAGTTATCTTAATAAAAATACAGTATACTACGGTTATAACGAACTCAAAGGGACTACTAATTTTAGTTCGTTATGACCGTAATTCGTTATAAGCATATATACAGCATAACTACAGCATATAGTCGGGACTAAAAAGTTAGTTCGTTATATCCGTTAGTTCGTTATAAGCGTGTTCGTTATAACCGTAGTTTACTGTATAACATTTTCATTTCTCTTCATTTTCAGACCGGTATATATGGTCTCTGCTAGTCTGTCTTACAGCGGAAGGGATGATGTAAATCCGGCTGGGTTCCATGCAGGTAGCAAAGCTACTGTAAGTCCCCATGGTCTCTAGCATGGCGATCTACCTTCAACTGCTGGCGATCTATAGCCCATTTTTATAATGTAACGTTACTTATAGTGATTTCTTTTAATGGTTGTATGCTAGTTTAAAAATGAAAAATCTGTGATACTCTAGTAATGTTACTGTCCATCGATGACAGGTTTATATTAATTTTCCGTATATGTATTAAAAATGTATAACTTCCCGTCACGATATGGCTGAAATATTGCCGATGTGACGTTAAACATTAACTCACTCACTCACTCTTACAGACCCTGATACAAATATATATCAAATACAGCCCATGCAAGTCTATAATGTTTGGCAAGTCTAGATTACTGCAGTATCTGAAAATGATGAGAGTAACTGGGCTCCCTTTTATTATATTTTTATTAAGACAACTGAACAACTGTTAGATGTTAGTCTAGGTCTCTGCTTGTACCGTTATCAAGCAAGACTGTATGATGAACTTTCTACCAAATTATATAGTAGGTGGAGGATTATAGGGCTGAGACGCGTCCATATGTACTACCCGGGTACCCTATCCCCTATTACCCGACCCTACCCTGGTACCCACTGCAAGTCTCAAGAGTTGGGAACAAAATGTCTGATTGGGAATCGTATTTTTCCGCAGCCCTGGCCAAAACTATTTGGATACATGTATCAGACGATCAGTACACTGAAGTTGACTGAAGCTTAATCTTCACTCAGACATATACAAGTCAAAAGGAATGTGTGCATCGTCAGAAAGAAATGCGAACATTAGCGACTTGTAGTGTAACCACTGAGCTATTGTGAGTTTCTGCCATTAAACAATACACCACGTGACTAACCACGGGTCCGGGTAGTCCTGAGGGTACCAGGGTCCTACTCAGTACCCACCCTACCCGAGTTACCCGTCCCAGCCTTTAAGGTGAGGTGAAATGGGGTTTAACGTCGCGTCCAAGATTATTCCACTTATATAGCGGGTGTGTGTGTGGCTGCTTGTACTAGTCCGGACTGATGCCGATTTATAGTGCTAGCTCACTGAGATACCATGCCGCAGTTTAACATGAATACCCCACTCAGACACAGTATACTGACTCAGAGCCGACCAGTCCTTGTCTTAGCCCCTTAATGCCGAGCACCAGACAGGGTAACAATAAGTACCATCTTTTAACGTCTTTTGGTATGACGCGGTCGGGGATCGAACCCCGGACCTTCCGCTCTCTGGGCGGACGCTCTACCACTAGACCACGGAGGCGGTCAGCCTTTAAAGATTACCCGTGCATGTTTGTAACACGTCTGAAATTTCAACGTTTCGAAAACAGCATTGTGAGATTGTTCAGACTCCAAGTACCTATCAAAGTTTGGCTCAAGTTATTTGTGTTTATACAGCAAACATCTGTTTTCTTAACGGTATTTACAGCGGAGGGGAAAGGATTTAAAACACTGACGTTTAATTGACATGGATTAAAACATTAGAATCGCCCGAAACGCTATAAATCGTACAGATGGCATGGAGATTAAGCTTTAGCGTTAATTCCTCCCACACGTAATCCATCTGTTGTCATGTAATCCTATCTGGGTAAAACACTGACACTATGTGGACGCACGTGACGCAATTACACATCCGCCTGGTCAAGGTGTCAAATTAGAATAACCACTCTTGACATGCTCCCCACGTGCGCGATTACGTGAAAATGGGTATTGCATTACTTTGTGTTGTAATAATGACAGAGTGAGTGAGTGAGTTGGGTTTAAAGCCGCTTTTAACAGTATTCCAGTTATATCACGGCGTGTCAGCTTAATGTGGGAGGAAAGCCCGAAGTGATGCAGGTCTTGGACGTTTACCACTTCGGTGAAAGTCACGAGCACGGGTATGGTGCTAACAAACCTAGAAACATAATCGGGGCGAACCGGGATTCGAACCCACAATCATAGGTTTCTTGCGTGTCAAGGAGACGCAACTGTGCACAGCGAATCGCGGCGCCTGAGACGACTGGGCCACCCGTGCCCCCTAATGGTAACTGACAGGGTGACAGATATTGTATTAACGTTCCACTACATGAACTGTTTGATTGTCATTTCACAGAAGGTAAGTAACATTAAAGACGGGATAGTTTGTGGATGACATTAAAATAAAAAAAAGTTGCCATCCATAAAATTTCTTGTCTTTACTGTCTTTAGTTTACATTATAATAGTGAGTGAGTGAGTGAGTTTGTTTTTACGCCGCTTTTAGCAATATTCCAGCAATATCACGGCGGGGGACACCAGAAATGGGCTACACACATTGTATCCATGTCGGGATTCGAACCCGGGTCTTCGGCGAATAAAAGTTTTGCGTTATAGTGAGAAGTAGATTCATACATGGATATATTTGATTGTACATTCTAGATAAGAACTGTCTTTATTATGTACGATGCTTGTGTTGTTGTTGTTGTTGATTTGTTGTTTAACGCCGCACTCAGCAACATTCAAGCTACGATGCTTGTGGGCAAATGGGCGCATTTGTGGATAAAAAAAAATCGCACGTAAACTTCCTCATCTCACAATGACCCATGAAACATCGGCAGTCTACATCTAAATGCGCCGAACAAAGAAACCGCGAGGTCTGAATGTGAACCAAAAAACACCAAACAAATCCTTGGCAAACTCGGCGAAAGCTTTAAACAAAGAAACTCCAGCGACTGCTCACAAACTTTGAAACAAACTTTTTCACCCCTCAACCTTTCTCAGATCTCGCGAAGTCACGAGCGCGTGACGAGACATAAACAGCCACGTGCGGTCCCCGAGCCCAGAGCGTGCTGAAGTTGACGGCAGACGATAACTTGCGCCAGTCGCGAGGGCCGACACGAATGACTGGCTATGAAATGGGAACAGGGGTGATACGCGAGTCAGGCGGTCAGTAAAGGTATTCGGACGTTTAACCACGCTCGGACCGGTCGTGAGAAGGAGCGTTCTGTTGGCAAAGATTCTGGAGTCTTACTTTAAGAAACGCGTGGAGAGTTGTGTTATAACTTGGGGAAAGTGTCGTCAGGATTTACGGTTAGAACACGTGACCTTTACTGCAAGTTTGTTTGCTGCCTGTCGGGAACAGAAGGGAGTTTTGAAAGGACGGAGTAATAAGAGATCCTGTTATCTCTCAACGACACATGGTGACGGGGTCTCGCACAAAGCCAGGCGATCTGCAACAGCAGTTAAAACAGAGCGTCTTAACTTCGAAAGCCGAGACTTGCACACAAGTACAAAGCAGTTTTCTTCGGTATATATTCAGTATATCCACACATGCATGAAACTGCATACGTACTCGGATTAGCATGTCTGTGTATTTCTGAAACTTAGGAGAAAGTTGTGATTGTCGAAAATGGATGAAAAACGACCCCCCAGTGAATCCTCGGAGGATGGAGAGAGCGATGAAGGCAGCAATGGACGCAGGAGGATTTACAGAAGAAGCAAATCAAAGTGTGACGGGAGGTTGTGGATATTTATGGTTCTAGGTGCGGTTATTCTTGTGCTTGGAATTGTAATCGGCGGTCTGTACTTTAATATGAAGACACTGACGGAATCTACCGAGTTCACCCAAGTCACGCCAACATACGTGAACGCCATAGCGGTAAGTGATATGTGTGTTGTTTATAATTAAACCAGAGTCTGCGATAGGAATAGACATCAACGCACGCTTGGAAAGTTTCGCTATATTTTCAGCACTTGATGGCAATTTTCAGGTTTATATGTGAATATTGTTTTTATCGGCCAGATTTTCAATTTGACATCTAGAGATTCACTATTGCGTATGAGAGTCATAAATGCACTCGTATGGATCAAATCGGTTCCGAATTTAGATATGATATTTTATTTACTCCGTCAAACGAGACCTGACTAATATGGTGACTTAAGTATTAGTATCACTATGGCAACTCTTATTCTCGGAAAATTATTAGGTAGTTTTCTAAGGTTGGATCATCCCTGAGGCAACAGCAAGACGATAGCCACGTATCCATTACGAGAGAGCCTTCAGGTAAACGGTGTATTGTTGAAAATAATTTGTGGTGATACGCCTTGAGGATAAGAATAAATGTATTATTCACTAGACGTTGTATAAACACGTATTTTACTGCAATTGTCATGAGCTTAGCGTACAGTCCTTGACGTTTCAATTGTCACAAGGGCTAAACTCACAAACCTGACAGTTACTTTTTACAACTGTGTGTATGCTAGCTATAGGGAAGGGGTCGGGTGGGGGTTATTGATGAAGTGGGGTGGGATAAACCGTTTAAATGACTACCTCAGTATCTGCTTGCCGTGACAGGCTGTATCCGTGATCTCACAAGACGACATGCATTCTTGTTTTGTACAGTCGATATAACCATCGCTTGTGGATTGTAAATCAAACCGAGGTGCACGAGTGATTTAGAATATACCCGTCAGCTCAGCTCCGTTGTATGTAGTGTGTGGTCGACCTCAGCGGGGGGTTATATGTTTACGTCATGATTTGCTTGTCATCCTGGAAGAGACAGACGAAGGTATTATAGCTCAGGGCGACTTGTAACATGGAGAGCACTGGCTTTGACGTAACGAGCCCGATATGACAGTGTGTGAGTTTCAATGGGAAGACGTGTCATTCTTAATTGTTCACCGAAAAAGGGAGAATACGTCCCCCATAAAATATTGTGCAAGACGAGATAGTTTAGGTTGTTAGTTGTTTGACGCCGCACACGGCAATATATTCCAGCTTTGTGGCGGCGATGCGTACATAATCGAGAATGGACCAGACAATCCAGTGATCGACATCATGCGCACTGATCGACGTATTTGGGTTACGATGAAATGCATCAACCAAGTCAGCGAGCCTGACCACCCGATCCCGTTAGTCGCCTGGCCTCTTACGACAGGCACAGTCGCTTTTACGGCAAGCATGGGTTGCTGAAGACCTATTCCACCCGAATCCTCACGGGTCATGTGGCTATTGTGGCCGAGTTGCACATTGATAGAAACAATTATGGATATCTTGTCCTGTTGAAGTAAAATAAATATAATCACTGTTTTTCAGGACCTTTTGTGCAGGGAGAAGCGTTGTTCAGATTTTAGAATTGTTTGATCTTTCTGGGGTCAGTGACCAGGGGCTTTTAATAACCATCTGTCATGGTGATACCTCCGTTTGTCTGCACCAATTAAAATCAACTTGTCTCCGCTGACCGTGTGACCGTTGTTGAGATCTAAATTTCAGTTGTCGGTGTCACGTGAATTCCCATTCTCTCTCTCTCTCTCTCTCTCTCTCTCTCTCTCTCTCTCTCTATATATATATATATATATATATCAACTATATATATATATATAGAGAGAGAGAGAATGGGAAATCACGTGACACTGACAACTGAAATTTAGTAAATCTCAACAACGGTCACACGCTAACTCAGCGTAGACAAGTTGATTTTAACTCGATCACTCTTATATAATTCGGGGTAGAATGGTCTTCAGCAACCAATGCTTGCCGTAAAAAGGTGACTATGCTTGTCGTAAAAGGCTCGCTGACTTGGTTGATGCATGTCATCGATCCCAATTGCGTGGATCGATGCTCATGATATTAATCACTGGATTGTCTGGTCCAGACTCGATTATTTACAGACCGCCGTCATATAGCTGGAATATTGTTGAGTGCGGCGTTAAACAACAAACCAACCATCTGTATTCATGCATGATGTCCTTACGTGTAGCGCCTATGTAGTCAAAGGCCCCACATAGCCATGTTTGTAATCGAATCTGTATCTGACAAACCAGTGATTGATAGGATGAGCAACTGTCCGTCAAGCTACATCAGCGCGCAGTCAACGAGTCTGACCACCAGATCCCTTGATAAGGATTACGAGTATTTTGTCCAAGAGTGATTGAGTGGGTTCTGTTTACGGGGCTTTGAACAGTATTACTGTCATCACCTCTTACAATTTTTGCCATGTGAGCTGAAGAATCCTTGGTAATTCCCGTTTAATATCGGTGTAGAGGAATGTAATCAGATTGGTATTGAAAGGTTGTGGTCGCTCAAGCATGAATAAAAATACTGAAAGGCTAGAAGCCTATTAACAGGATTAATGTTTTAATATCGTTCGCATCTCTGTATAGGGTTATGTATCAATACAATGGTATTTGAGAAAAGCAGTCTCGCTAGGTAATCACAACCTTTTCAATATGGATATATTCCAAATTATTGATGCACTCCCTATCTGTGGAGTTTGCTAAGGAGTAGCCATCCGATACAATTTAGAACATGAAATTGTAACCTATCTGCCATTTACTGATTGTATTGTTCTTGAGTTGGCAAAATATGAATTATTAATAATGTTGTTTCTATCGTTATTTGAAAGTGTTCAGCGCTTTGTTAGTGTTACATATATACGTGAGACCTCGGTAACCCACACCCTGTTAATCAGGACACCTGCCTTTCGGGCGTTTATTGGTTTAGAAACCACTACACATATACAAAGCTGATTAATCCATGACGATGCTTAAGTAGTCGTCTGAATAACGAGGTCATATTGTATCTGTAGGAGAAATAAATGTGAAATATTAATACATCATTTGATTATGTACTTTCTGTGCACATGTTTTTATCAATGCTTCTGTTCGGACTTTTGTATATTTTCATTTTCTGTGTCGGTCTTTCTGTATTTCTATTTGTGTAATCCTGCCAGATATTGTGGGACCAAGAAGTTTTTGCTCGTGAGAATCCCAGTATTCCCACCAAGCGGCGGTTTGGGGCCTGGATCTACAAACAATGGCACACATTGCCACACACAAAAACCATGTCAACATTTAATGTCGATCCGGACTCTTTCTTTGCGGCTATTTGGTATTGAGGTTACGTGACATTTTTCATTGATTCGTGAAGTGGCTTAGCCCATTTTGTTGTGATATTTGTAAGGCTAAAATTGCCATTGCAAATGTTCCTGCTGGTAGATTTGACGAAATATTTTAACTCCGTCAATTTATTTAAGTAATGTTCTGTTAGGGTTGCTCGTTCCTTTGTTCGGGGATTATATTTGTGTTGAAGGTTTAAAATTGTCAACATATTTAGAGTTGATATAAGGCTTAGAATCCCTTGAGGAATGACAGATTAATTGATGATATTGATAATGCGTGGGTGTCATTGATTAGGTTCAAAATGATGAATCAGTTTTACCACGAATAATTTTCGGATTATTCTTTTTGGCATGTTTGGTTTAATATAATCAAAGTTGTGAACGTTAATAATTTATCATAGGGTAACTTCCGGTCTCACTAAGTTGAGTCACCGCTGATTAATTACAGCCTTTCGTGTCCGTCATGGATAAAAACGATGCACAAATGTTTGTTTAGTAACATGCTTTGTGGCAGATTATAGCAAGGCTGAGGCTTCATGCAAATTATCAAGTTATGGGGCCAGATATATTACCCTTTAGGCGGTTAACGGGAACTCAAGATAAGACAAAACATGCGTTTCCCATTTCCAAGATCTCTCAACCCAAGGGGGGGAGGGGTGTTATAGTGGGGTCGGGGGAAGTTTTAGACCGTGGGAAACCAGTCCAGAAATTGACAAGGGGCTCAGATTCCACGAGCTGCAGACCTCCAGATGTCAAAATCGTCTTTATTAAATTTCACTCCACCAACCAGTGCTCGCTTCCCTGCCGCGACAGAGTTTGTCGGCTTTCGGTAAAAGATGAGGCTCGTCTTGACTTCGACACCTGCCATCCCGTTATTGGGTTGCAGATGCACGGACCGCACGTGAAATGTCACACTTTAGTCGCACTGCTATGCGCAAGGACGTGCAGCACGTGAGAAACTTCCGGGTGTGACCTTTAACCTCGAATGACGTAACCGCTTTCCTGTCCCTCCATACTCACGATCTCTTGGCAAAATCCTGGGGCACCAATAATATTTGAATTGGGATTAACAAAGATGTTTTGTTTACGTTTTTGGAACGTAGTAGTGTTATGTTTGGCACATATTTTTGAATTGTTCAATTTGACCTAATACACCCACCAAGCTCTTTCAACAAAGAGACACTTTGTAGCACCTTCAGTCCAGGATATCCGACTTTGATGTACATTGTACAGTCATATAAAAAAATATCCAGCATTATTTGATGCTCAGGAAAAAAGTTAGATGTGTAAAATAAACATAATATATCCAACTTTTCTTTTTCATACAGAACATAAGGGACTAACCACTTTTGTGTCAGATATTTTTTAGCCACAGCTACAAATCCAGATATATTTTCTAATTAAAATTATGAGCGTGTACTTAAAAGAAAACAATAAAAAAAACTTGCAAAAATGTAGTTTTGTGGCAGGCAATTTATTTTATTTTTTCAACAACGTGCATATAACAAGTGTTATATTTGGGATAACACTTTCTTAGTAAAGTACAGATTCTCGTACTTTTTGGGGGCTGAGTCCCGTTGGGGAAGCATAATTCAATTATTTCTTTTGAAGAATTTAAGGGAACAATTTATTTTATTCGATAAAATACCAAATTATGGATCCCCAAATCCCTCTGGGGATTCTAGGTTAGAATCGGTCCCCAGCAAGTTAAAGCTTGTAGTAAAAGCCTTTATGGACAATTGGTAAAATATTTATTCCA